TTCTCGGGTGTACCCAAAGCTGACCATCCGAATATAGACTGCAGCACTGCTCTTCAGCGAGTACATATGCCTCGCCATCATGTCCTTCCCATGGTACGTTCCTTGCTCTCGATTGGTTACATCGCTGACCGTCCTCGCAGGTCCTTCTCAGTACTAGGACTAGTCCCTGGCATCATCGTCACCATCTCGGTCGCCGCAAGCGTCCAGTATACCTCCCTCATCCTCTGGCGCTTCTGCCTCAAGCACCCCGAGATCCGTGACGTCTGCGACATCGGGCGGATGCTCTTCGGCGGCTCGGAGCTCGCGTACAATGTCACCTCCGTGTTCTTCATCCTCAACAACACGTTCATCCAAGGTGCGCCCCGCGTCTCTCATTGCCTCGCAGTTCTGAAGGAACCGGACACGCAGCGCTGCACTGTCTCGTCGGCGCAAAGATTCTGAACACGCTGACGAACTCGGCCGCGTGCACAGTCGCGTTCAGCGCGATCTCTGCGTGCATCTGCTTCGTCATCTCCCTCCCGCGCCCGCTCTCGCAGCTCTCGTGGCTCGGGACGTTCAGCGCCGTCACGATGGGCCTCGCCGTCCTCCTCGCCATCGTCTTCGCTGGCATCCAGGACCACCCCTTCGGGTACATCCCTGGCGAGGAGCCGCTCATGACCATCATCCCCGTGAAGGGTACGACGTACGTCGCGGGCATGTCCGCCTTCCTGAACATCACGTACACGTTCGTCGGGCAAATTACGCTCCCGTCGTTCATCGCCGAGATGAAGAACCCGAAGGACTTCCCCAAAGGTGCGCGGCCCCCCTCCACAGCTCTCCCGCCTCTCATACTGATGGTGACGGTGCCTCTGCAGCGCTATGGGCAGTAACGATCGCGGAGGTCGTCATCTTCACCCTCGCCGGCGCGCTCATGTACCACTTCATCGGGAACCAGTACATGACCGCGCCCGCGTTCGGCTCGCTGCAGGACCCGTACAAAAAGATCGCGTTCGCGTTCGCGATCCCGACGATCATCTTCCTCGGCGCGCTCTACGCGTCCGTCACCGGCCGCTTCATCTTCTTCCGCATCTTCAAGGCCGGCAGCACGCACCGGCACGAGAACACCGTGCTCGGGTGGGCCGTTTGGGTCGCCATCCTCGCGGCGACGTGGGTGGTCGCGTTCATCATCGCCGAGGTGCGTCCGTCCCCCGTCTATCGTCTGCTCTGCGTCCGCACGGAGTGCTGACAGTGACGTGTTTCTTTCGGGGCGTGCAGGTCATTCCGTTCTTCTCGGACATGCTGAGTCTGATGAGCTCGCTCTTCGACGGCTGGTTCGGGTGAGTCCTGCATCCCTCTGTGCGCGCTCCGGGCGACCGACGACTCATCTTCACTACTGCGCAGCTTCATCTTCTGGGGCATGGCGTACCTCACGCTCTACCCCGGAGCCGAGCGCTGGGCAGGCCGGTGGCGCTCCGCCGAGACAATACTCAACTACCTCATCATCGTCTTCGGATACTACGTCCTCGTCGCAGGCACATATGTGAGTAGTCGTGTCCCTCTCGATCGCGTTGGGCTGGACGGACGGACGCTGATGGCGGTCTCCGCGCGCAGACCTCAGTGCAAAGTATCATTATCGACTATACAGGCCAGGAGGTCTTTTCTTGCGCGAGCAACGGCGTATAACAGTGCGCCGTGCCGTGCCACTTATTCTTGTGTCTTGAGCGTGGACCGTTCTATTACGGGTGTACTGTAGAAGCACGACTAACGAATTGTGCGTTTAATGTAACAACTAGAACATGCTACTGTCTGGACTCTGGACGAGCTCGGGACACGTACGACGCTGCGGGCCGTCCGTCGATCATTTACCGGGCTTTGTGGACATACAGTCCCGTCGCCACGAAGTCGGATGAGCTGTCAAGTGTTCAGCATACCCGTCGCCAGTCTTGTCGAGCTCGTCCGTCGCAGCGTTATGAAGAGCTCGGCCTCGTCAACTTGCATGCGAGGACAGGCGGCTTCGGTGGTCTTGCGTGTTTTGCTCTCGACGCTCGTCGTCTTGCTGGAGTGCCGCTTGATGATAGTAATGACCACTATGAGGAAGGTATCGTTTGAAGTCAACGATGCCTCGGTGCTGGGATCCGATGAGAGTGGTAGAAGTCGTACGCGTTACTGCCAGGGACGGTTGTAGAACACTTGATATTGCGGCTCAGCTGCCCATACGAGTGTTTCGATAGAGGGTGTCTTCGAGTCAAGCACGGAGATCTGATCAGCCGCAAACATTAGTTCCAACGCATCATCTTCGCGGAAGCAATCGCGTGAAAGACTCATCTGGAGAAATGCAGGGAGGCAATTGCAACATGTACAAGTACACTCCCAGCACGAAGTACGTGGAGAGCGATCGTCCTCTTCTGTTGCTTCCTCGTCGAAAGCGAGCTCAGTGAGCAGCTGTAGCTCGCGAGGCCACGTCACGAGCAATCTCCGCATCCCTGTGCTCGTCAGCGCGTTGAAACGTCCTGAACACGATGAGGTGGGGGTGCTCCGGAGCGGTTCTGCGCTCGAGCTCGCATGTCGATCTTGATCAGGAGCCGACGGAGGGAGCGTCACTAGAGAGCCGAGCCAGGCGAGGAGACCGGTCCACAAGCGGGCTCGGATTCGGGCATGCGCTCTAGCCTCCGTGAATCCCGAGACAGCGGCGACAAGTCCGGCAACTGTGTGCGGTACGAACAGTCGAAAGATTCGTGTCCCTCGTGTCGCCTTCCCTGAGCTCCGAAACGAAATGACCGCTGGCTGCTTGTGGTCAGCAAGCGGCACTCACTTGGTGTAACTAAAGCCCGATTGCGCGCCCGGGTAAGCGGACGCTTCTGGCTGAGCAGCGGGGGTATGTTCGAGCGTCGCAGATGAACCAGAGTGCTGCGTAAACCCGGTGTTCACGTCGATGGTGATCCTCTTGAAGAGGCGGGATGCACGAATGCACATAGAGCGGTTGTCGAACGGTAACACGGTGCGAGAGCATGGGGAACGAGCCCAGGTAGAATGAGGGCTTGAACGGCGGGGGTGGGACATCGGTTCATCCTGCAGAGTTGCAGCCACGAGATGGCCGGATTCCACGCAGCAGCACGCCTCGAGCTCTCCTTGAGAACTGGTCTCAGCCGTCTATTTGGAAATGAAGAGTACGGTGGTTAGCATGCGGTGCGTTACGAGATCAGCGGGCGCGCTCGCACGGCAGCTGAGTTGTCCCCGGATGCGTTTGTGGGCGCCCGCAACTCACGGTGACCTTCTCCCGCCAAGGAATGTACACGGAATCATGGAAGGTGTGTCGACTGACGTATCTGCATAGTCATGGGCTGTAAGTAGCTGCAGATTCCGTGACTGAGAAGTATGCGCGGCTCACCAATCTCTCCGTCTGGTTCGCTGATGTTGAGCGACCATTTCTAGTCAGAGCAGGGAGAGTGCCGAAGTCAATGAGATGTCCTGCGCGTTGCCGGCAGGCGACATCGGAGAAGGAGAGAGGAAGAGACGGACGCGTGCAGCTGGAAGGAGGCTGCCACTGGACATAGTGCACGTGATCGCAACGCGCCCGAGACTCGAGAGCGACGTCGTTCTCGAAGCTACCTTGTTGGCGGGCGTATATAAGGCTGGATTCTCGCCCTCTCATTGCTGTGTCCCCACTCTCTCCTTCTCATTTTCTCCGCTCTCGCTGTCGACCCTGCTGGGCTACCGCTTGTCGAGACTCCATGGTTTCAATGTCCGGCGACCCGGACGCCAGGATCGAGGAGGGCCCAGATCTTCGATACCTCCGTAGATACCTGTGCGTCCGTACGGTGCTCGGAGAACGGGTCAACTGTCGCCAAAAGTACGGTCTTGGACAGGACGACGTAGGACGACGCTTTCGCACCATGTATGCGCCCGGTGAAGCGATGAAGCGCATACATGCAGCATATAGTGACCAGGTACGGACGTCTTGGTCTTCTGCGGACCTGCGGTAGCCGCACTGGTAAGCACTGGGCGCGTCAAGTCCTGGCTTCTTCTATGCGCGTCATACGCCGCATGTACTCACCGACAGGCACTAGATCCCTGCCTAGGAACTCGCTGCGTCTTCTTCCCGTAGGGGGAGTATCCTGCTGCTGACTCGGGTGAGCCTCGCGGTAAGCCTCACATGTGGGCGTATTTCTGTGCTGGCTTGCGGACCTCGTATGGTGCCTGAAGTCACTGGCCTCGTCGATCCTGCTTGTGCACCGCGCGGCTTGCTCTCGGTTACTGCGCTTCTAGGACTCGAGCTCCGCAGTCGAACGTGCTAGGGACACGAAAGTTCGAGGCTCGGGGCTGGGTGTCCGTATCGGCGTGCTTTCGTCTCGTGCTTCGATCGCATACTATGCACTACTGTAGGATGTACATCCAAAGACAGTCGACGGTCTGTCGTGAGGTTCGCATCGGAAGTCGAGAAGAGAGTACTTACAAGGCGTTGCGGCCCGTGGTAGATCGGAATAGGTGCTGACTCGGTGCTGGATCCGGCGGCACTGCGTTGCGGACGTCTGAGATCCAAGGTCAGTGGTCTGCATCTCCTGACATGCGGCTCCGAGGAGAGCGGCTGGTGAGGAAGCCGCGCCTACAGCGAGGACGAACATGGACGTTGCTGTATTAGCGTTGTGGGGATGAGAGAAGAGCTAAACCTGTCCTTTCGTAGTGCAAGCCGTGTACACCTGTTGGTCCTCGACGACGGGAAATTCCCGTCGGCGTACATGTTATTCTGGAGGAGGACACGACGGCAAGAAGCAGAGGTCTGAATCGACCTGATTCGTGGCGAATCGCGAGGTCTTCAGCAACCTGTTGGGCAACATGAAGGTCTGCTAGCCTCGCCCTACATTCGCGACAAAGCGGGATACAACGGAGGAGGTCAACAGAACGATCAGTACTGTTTGAGTACTGTATCAGTGTATGAGCACAACACGCTCGCTCGCTCACCGCCACTGAGGAACGTAGAAAGCCATCTGATCAGGGGAGGCAGCAACACCTGCGGCCTTATCGGTTCAATGGTGTAGTTGGTTATCACGTCTGTCTCACATTATGGCACAGCTGTCTACGTGCACAGGAGGTCTCCAGTTCGAGCCTGGATTGAACCATTTTTGCTTGCCACATATGGAATCCCACTGTTCAATGATTGAGTCACGACTACGTTCAATGCATGCGTGCACCTCAAGCACAATGTCGTCGTTAGGATCGACTTCTGTTTTATTATACACTCCAGACATGTGTGTCAACAGTCGTCTATGGAAACGCAGTTAACTCGCGCTTGCCGTCGGGCATGGCTGAGAGGGTGATTTGTCCGGACTCCGAAGGTGCGAAGGTGCGGCGCCCGATGCCACCCTTGGACTGCTTCCTCCCTGAAGCGAGTATTCGTCCCTTGCGATAGCGGGACTACGGCAGCTTTCTATGTCTATTCCTGGCGCGCTACACGAAACGAACGTCAACGTAGCTCAGCTGGGCTCCACCGGTTGCTCAACGGGACCCCCGCGTGCGGCATTGAGACCGTCGGCGGGGGCCACCCTGGCAGTACTTGGTGGAAAAATCGGATGTTCCGCTCTACTTGCCCTCTCGTCGCGAACCGATTCAGAAAGCGGTCAGCGACTTTCGCGAGCGGCGAACATGAACTCGAAGACACGACGGACACACATACGCCTGTCTCGGTGCGGGGAGAAAAAGAAAAGCCCGGCTGCGGGTCAGTGCGCTCGTGGAATCTATAACGGGGTGCCAGGTGCCTTAGTACCTCCCACCAGTGCGGAGAGCCTATGCCGTTGCAAGACCCAAACCCAGCAGCGCTCTCAGGCGGGCGTGGTACGAGTACGTACGCCTTGAACAATGAGTCCGTGGCGTGCGGTAAGTCTACCCGACCCCGCTTGCGACCGAGAGATACACCTGAGCTGCTGAGTTCCCTAGTTGCGACGTAACGTCGCCGCTCGCAGTATTCGGTCGCTACGCATTCGCTTGACATGAGCTCTGAAGTGCGAGGTGCTCTCGCGCCGTCGCTATGCTTGCGGTTAACGCAGTCCGCTGCTGCCCGCCGGAGTGCGCCTTATCGTGCGGACTCGCAGGATAGTCCGCAGAACAGTGAAGGGCTTCCGCCGCGTGGGTTCAAGAGAGAGCAGAAGCGGATGCTCGTCATCTGGGTCTCATAGGTCTGCGCCAGGCACGATAGAGGTGGGTGCGTCCTTCCAAACGCGTACATGACCAGACTAAACGCTTATCGTGAGGCGTGGACCTGTCAAGCGTGAGTCCACGAGCAGCGCTTGGGAAGAGATGCACTGTCGCACCGGAGGCGATTAGAGACGATGCCACTGCGACTGCGATCCGCACCGTGTAGTAGCAGTGGGAACGATGTCGTGAGTATGGTTTGCGGGCGGTCACCCGGCGGCCTACGCCCGCACGCTGAGCAAAGCCACGGCTCCCGAGCCTCGTAGTACGCAGGCAGGGCCTGAGTGGAGACAGGTGCGAGATAGAGCGCATAGATGAACGTACCCGCGCCCAGAAGTCACTGGGAATCTGTCCGTGTCCTCGTACTACGGTGCAGTCGCCCTGACGCTGAACTCTGCAGTGGAGAGACGCGGCAGGATAGTCACGATCGGGGTCTATACAGAGGGAGGGATGACGTACCATGGTGGTATGAAGTCAGTGCTCACACGACGCGACGGTTCTCCGTGCGTGTGTGGCCATGGACGTGGAGCACAGTGACGGTAGGGAGTCTGGACGTCGGTGGGGATGGGAGACGTTTGGCCAGATATTTGTGGTACTTACTGAGACGGAGACGGAGGCGGAGGAACGTCGGAGGCGGCGACGCTCCCCCTCTCGAGACCCTCCGCCCGAAGGACGAATCTAATCGGCATCAGACGGTGAGAAGTCGCCGGAACGAATTTGACTGGCACTTACCTGCAGATGAAACGCGCCGGAACGCGCCCGATGTCTGTCGTGAGAAGCATCAGGAAGCATGGCAGGGAGGCACTGCTGCCAAGGTGTATGTATCTGTCAATATCTTGTCTACGGCAACACAAACGAGGAGTGTCCCATGTGGGCTTCTTGACTCGGAGGAGTTCCTCTCCGTGTGTGGCCGCCCGTGAATGCAAGGACGGAGCGAGGGTCGACGCCGCCGGGTTACTTACGCGGACACTGTCGTCGCGACTCGGCCACGGACCCATTGCGCAATTGCACGACGCCCAGGGACCATGCAGTGTAAGCACCGGATGATCCGTGGGCGTCGTCGAAAATAAACATGAGTGCAATCCTTACTTATACAGCGTCCGGTTCAAGCCTCGAGCAAGGAGCGGTGCCGGCGTAAATAACCTGGGCCTCCGGCGGGTTCTGGAGCACGCCCCGACCGCCGCTTGCAGGGAGACTCGGAGACGGGATGGCAAGAGTAGCGCGGGACATCGGATGGCCAGCGAGGCCAGCGAAGTCGCGACACATCCTCGAAGCGAGGAGCAATGGCGACGGGCACGCCAGAGCGCGGCAGAGCAATCCTCCGAGTTCACCTGGTCAAAGCAGCAGCGATAAGTGCTCTCTGACCTACGGATAGCGCTGCGTCGATGTCCTGACGGAGCAGGAGACGGCATTTAAGAGAAGATGCTGGGCGGTCACACGATGAGGCGACAGCCCCGATCGCATATCTTCTATGTCGAGCAAGGGGTCGAGATGAGTGTGGAAGAGATTCAAAAGGAGATGCGAAAGATACTTGCTATCAAACGGAAGTTCCTGATCTTCCAGCGCGACTCGGAGCTGCGGCAGTGAAAATTTGACTCCTGCGTCCGTGAGGACAGAGCAGCTCGGGTTCCGTTGCACAGCATAAAGATAGTGAGTTAGTTCTGCAGCGAGAAGCCTTGTACGGACGCCGCGGAGGAGCAGGAGTAGGAGATACGGCGGTGCGGACCACATGCAAACATGCATTGGCGCCCGACTAGGCTGTGTCGTTGACGTGGGATCTCGGGCCTAGTTTCTCCGTCTTCTCCCCGCCATCTCTGCAAGTTCACAATTTTGCAATAGCACCCCGAACGATCATAACTCAGGCTCCGAGCACGAGCGGGCGACATACGTACGTGATTTCGAGCGCAAAGGCGTTCGAGCAGTGGCATCCGGGTAAGTATTTTGATGCTGTTCCCGCCAGAGTGTTACTCACGGACAGACAGCAGACAGACGAACGGATAGTGGTTGAAACGCTGATGCCATATGGTCATTAGCAAATGCGGCCTTATGATAGGGTGCCAGCAAGTGCCAGCACCATCCGGACGACGCCCAGCCGCTGATCCGGAGCGTACGAGATACCGATGCTAGGAAGCACGCGATGCAAGTTCTTGCGTGAGCGTGGAGTCCAAGCCACATTTGCGACTGAACGGTGCTGATTCAGCCCCGATTCTTCCACAGGGAGCATCAAGAGAGGGATTCGCTGGTTGTCGCTATATCCGGCCATGTTCTCGCCATTCGCTGGCTGATGGGAGCCCATGCTGCGTTCCTGACAACGTAGCATCCTATCTGGCTGTCCAAATCTTCCCCACAATGCGCGTGCTTCTATCCCATCATGGGTTACATGCGTGCCTGGGAGCTATCAACCGCTCCTCACGTCCGAGCCGCTCTATTGCCAGAAGTTCCGGCAGACGATGCCATATAAGCCCAGCTCGCACGCTATCGTGCCCGCTGAGGCTCCCGTCTTCCCCTTCGACATCCTCACCGCTGTAGGCCTGCGCCGCGCGGACAGCCAGTTTAACGACATGGCGACGATTGAACGCAGGGTTTCTGACGTCTCAGTGGACGAGAAGGCCCACGCGGCCGACTCGTCCGTGAGCGACTCCAAGGAGCACTATGACGATCTCCCGGCCCTCGCCAAGGCCGACGCCGACGACGTTGGTGACGTGAGTGCTCTCGCTCGTTTCCCGTTTTGCTGCCCAAGCCCATCTTGCCGCTTCCCTACCAGGTCTCAGAGGACGTTCGCGCCATTGATCTCGACGCTTCCGGTCACGAGCGTCCGATCGAGACGAACCAGGACTACGCTCTCCGTCTTGTCTCCCTCGACGACGACCCCACTCTCCCCATCCACACTTTCCGCACCTGGTTCCTCGGTCTCGGTCTGGCCTGTTTCGCCGCCGTCCTCGGCGAGCTCTTCGTAAGTCCCACGCTTGCCCTTCTAACTTCGCGTGATCTGACGTGCTCCATGTCCCGCGTGCTCCTCCTGCATCGCCAACGTCATTTGTCACCGAGCAGTACTTCCGCCCCCAGACCGTGCAGGTCTCCGGCCTCTTCCTCCAGGTCTTCGCGTTCATCCTCGGTCGCGGTCTCGAGACCATCCTCCCTGGTCCGAACCATCCCCGCTTTCAGACTCGCGACACCTGGTTCTGGCGCTTCATCAATCCCGGTCCATTCAGTGCGTAACTGTTTGTCTTCGGAATAGCCGGATGTATGTAACCAATCCCCTGCACGTAGACATCAAGGAGCATGTCGCTATCAGCATCATGTCGACGACGGCGTCGGATCAGGCCATTGCCATCTCTGTCTTTGCGGCCCAGGATCTGTACTACAACATTACGATTAACCCCGCGATTGCTGTCTTCACGTACGTCCTCGCCGTGCTGCTCCGTCCAATCAGAGCTGACCGATTGCACATTGTCCCGCTTCTGTCTTGGCGTCAATGTTTGCGTCTGTGTACCGCCGTGCATGCCATGCAGGCTGATTGCGTCGCAGCTGATTGGCTACGGGCTCGCAGGTCTCGCTCGCGACTACCTCGTCTACCCGACATGGGCTGTGTACCCCTTCCTCATGCCACAGGTCCAGCTCTTCGACGCGATGCACCGCGGCAAGGGCATCTTCCAGCAGCGCAAGCGTCGCATCTTCTTCTGGGCCGTCCTCGTCGGGATCTTCATTTGGGAATGGTTCCCGGAGTACATTGCTCCCACTCTCACCGGTATATCGATCGTCTGCCTCGCCTCGCAGCACAGCGCCTGGGTCACTCGGTATGTACCCTCGTCGATGACAGCTGATGTTCGTTGACTGACGTCGTGTGATAGCATCTTCGGTGGCGCTGCCGGTAACGAGGGTCTTGGTCTCTTTGCCATCTCTCTCGACTGGAACTACGTCGGCTCGGGTG